GGCCACAGCCCTGGGGGTGGGGCCAAGGAGCACAGATGGGGGGGGGATCCTTGTCTCACCTACATTCCAAATGGGGGCGGGACCACAGCCCTGGGGGCGGAGCAGGAGAGCACAGATTGGAGGGGGGGCCTTTCTGTCACCGACATTCCAGTTGGGGGCAGGGCCACAGCCATGGGGGTAGAACCAGGTTCACAAATGGGAGGGTCCAGGGGCCCTCCTTATGCCATCACTTGGATATGGGAGTGGGGCTAGAGCATTGGGGACGGAGCCATGGAGCCCCTCCACCCCATGCCATGCAGCGCCTAAGCCCCCAACTGCCATCCCACAGGGGTGTCATTAGCTCATATCTCATTCGCTTCCTCTGCAGCCCCCCCCGTGGTGCATGTGGTGGCCACCCCAGGCCCTCATCGCAGCACGGGGGAACCCCTGTCCCTGATGTGCCGGCTGGACACCAGCGCCTATGGCGGAGTGGGCTTCTCCTGGTACAAGGATGGCGAGCGGCTGGGGTGGGCACAGCCAGAACTGGCTTTCCTGGGCGTCCAGGTGGCTGATGGGGGAGAATATCAGTGTGAGGTGTACAACACCCTAGGGAAATCCACCTCCCTGCCACTCACCATCACTGTTGTGTGTAAGTACTGGGCGCATTTGACTCCACGTTACGCATTACGTTGCCAGGGAATGGCTTAGAGTCCCCCATGCACCATGGTTGAACCCCGCACCGTCCTTCTGCAAGGCCAACCAAAATAAACAAGCTCCCAGCTCGTGCTCCAGCTGGGTCCGCTTTGTTGACCAGGCTCCAGTATCCCTGTCCAGCGCACAGAGCCATCTAGCAGCCAAATGACATTACAAGTCAACCTGTCATCAGGCCGAGAAACACCCATTCAAATAACGTACATGTGGTTGAAATTTAATATTTTTTAATCATCAGGAAAAATGTCTGGTTTGCCACCCTCAAAATTAGCTCTTTGCCGGACTTTTCATTACATTTTTCGTCTCAGTTTTTACTTACAGTGTTTTGAAGGAGCAATTCGTGGGCGCTGGGTGAACGAGCTGTTGGGGGAGCCTAGCCCCTGGCCCCTCCCTCTCTGCCCGAGGCCACACCCCTCCCCTTCCACCTCCCCTTCCCCACCGGAGCCCAGAGCCCTGGTGGGTGGTTGGGGGGGTGTCCCTGCGGCCCCCTGCTGTAGGAGCTGAGCCCTGCTCTGTGTCTGTGTGTCCCTGCCCGCCCCCTGCGGCCGCCACCCCCCCATGTACCCCCAGTTCCAGAGTGCCCCCAACCCCAGTGCCTGGCAGCGTGGCATGGCCCCAACCCCAGCGCCCCCAACCCCAGGCCTCACGAGCACCGGCCCCAGCCTGCCCGCCCCAGGCTCTCAGCCACGGAAGAGCGGGAAGGGAACTGGGGGCGGAGCGTGGGTGGGGCCATGCCTGGCTGTTTGGGGAGGCACCGCCTTCCCCATCCTACGCTACCCGCCACCCATGGGGCAATTGTTGAAAATTATAATCAATTAAAATTAAAGTTAAATAATCTTTTAAACAGAAAATGCTGGGGCGCGGGGGGGGGAGGTTGGCAAACAAAATTGTTTAGGATTTTGGGAAACAGACAATTATGATGACTGAACAGAACCATATTTGATCAAAATGCCGATAAAAGAATGGTTGAAAAGTTGGAGGAAGCGTTTGCTCAAAGTCAGATTCAATCTTTGGCGAAAGGGTAGATTCAAAGTTTAGCAAAAGTTTCAAATGCCAAATTCCCAAAACTCTGGGGGGAAAGTGGGGGAAATGGCTCCATTTTGTACCCAGCGAAACAGCAACACACACAGGTTTGTGATCGTTCACATTTTTTCTTCCATTGGCCTGTGCAGCTGCCGGCACAAGGGGGCTCTGGTCGCACTTGGGGCAGGGTCTGTCTCTTGCTCTGAGTCTGTGGTCTCAGCAGGGACAGGGCCTGTCTCTGGTTGTGTGTCTGGGCAGCGCCTGGCACAACAGGGCCCTGATCCCAGCTGGGGCAGGGCCTGTCTCTGTCTCTGTGTCCGGGCAGTGCTCAGCACAGCGGGGCTCTGATCTCAGCAGAGGCTTCTAGGTGCTATTGTAATAAGAGGAGACTGGAGGTTTGAGGAACCTGGAAAAAAACTCCAATGTCCAATAAACTCTTGGGAGGAAAATTCTCCTGGTTAAAAACCCAGCTTCCTTCCTGCCCCCTCCACTGACACTTGCCTTCATTGTCCCCCCTAGGACTATGCTGCCCCCTCAACCAGCTCCCACCTCCCCATCTCCCCTGGCCTGCCCCACTGCACCCTGCATGACGTTGGAGCTAATGACCCTATTCTCCATCTCTCCCCACCACAGACGGCAGTGACTGGTACCAGCTGAGCCCTGGCCCCATGGCAGGCTTCGGAGCAGGGGTCCTGCTGCTCTTCCTCCTGAGCAACCTCGGGGTTTATTGTCTGGCCAGGAGAATCCGCCAACGGAAAGAACCAGGGGGTAGTCTGCAGGGTAAGGGACCCCCCTGGGTGGGAATTTGGGGGAGTGGCAGGAAAAGGGGGGCCTCTGGCTGCATTGTGGAAAACCTGGAGTGTGGGCGTGTGAAGGAAATCAGCCCACTGCTGGGTGTGTGTGTGTGTGTGTGTGTCCCTGCCGCCCCCTGCTGGAGGGACTGAGCCCTACACTGTGTGTATGAGGGTTGGCGGAAGCGGCCTGCTTTGTGGGGGGGTTGCCAGAGGGGGGAAACGATCGAATTGGGGGAAAATGTTTAAAGAAGGAAAATAAACAGTGAAAGGGGATAATTGTGTCTCCTTCCCCAGAGGGCAGCAGAGAGGACCCCAGCAAGCCACAGAGAGACTCGCTCTATGAGGTCAGTTGCGGGGGTCTGTTAGCCCCTGGGTCCCCACTGCCCCCACATACTGGCTGGGGTTGAGTATGCAGCTGCAGCCTGTGCACCCCCCCACCATCCCCAGCTGGATGGAATCAGCACTACCTGACCATGCATCATAGACCCCGTCCTGCTAATGGCTATGGGGAGATTCTCCTTCACATCCAATAGCCAAGACTTGCATTGGCACAGGAGGCTGGGAGATCTCTGCCCAAATACAACTGGGGATGCTCGTTAGTCTGCCAGATAACTGCAGTTCACAGCTCTGCAGGGCCATAAAGGTGGGCATGGAACCCAGGAGTCCGGGCTACCAGACCCTCCCCTGCTCGAACCACTAGACCCCACTCCCCTCCCAAAGCTGGGGATAGAACACAGGAATCCTGGATCCCAGCCTCCCCCCCCCCAGCCACTAGACCCCACTCCGCGAGCCAGGGAGAGAACCCAGGCGTCCTGGATCCCACTCCCCCGCCCCGCCCCCATTACTGAAGTTACAGGCAGACATCACACAGAGGTCTCCTGCTCAGGGAGTGTCCCCTCTTTCACACAATCTGTCTCTCTTCCTGTGTCCTCGGCAGGAAATCCCATGTGCCGGGGAGATTCCCTGCCCCTCAGATGACAACGGCGACTATTATAACAGCACCAAGGACTATTGTAACTGAGCACGGCCAAGACCCCTGCCGACCGTCCGCGGTCCCCTCCGTGCCGCCGCAACCCGGATCTCGATGAGAGTCCACCGCTCACACCCCAGGCAGCATTTACCCTCCTCCATGAGCTGGGGAAACCCAGGAGAACCCAGGTGTCCTGACTCCCAGCCCTCCTCCCACCCCGCAGCAGAGCCCTGGGGCAAGGTCCCACTTGGGCCACTGGAACTGGGCATTTCTGGGGCAGTTTAATTTGTAGTTCCTATTTTCCAGGCTGTGTTGGGTTTCGGGAGGCAGGCTGGCCTAGCAGACAGAGAACAGGACTGGGAGGGAGGTGATCCGGGGTCTGCCTGCCTACGGGCAACTCACAGCCCTGCTCTGTGCCTCAGTTTCCCCGAAATGATCCTTCCCTCCTGTGTATAGTGCTTGGAGATCTCTGGCCGGAAAGCACTAGACATGGACAAGGTGTCATTACCCACCAGGCTGCTGTTTCCCTCCAGGTCCAGCCCCTTTCTCAGCTTTAACACAGTTTTCGTCAGGGAATTGCCTTTGTTTTGTTTATTGTTACTGGATAGTAAAGTGGGTTTACAAACCCATCAGCCTGGGTGGCTGCCGCGGGACAGGGAGGCTTTGCCGAGGGCAGGGGGCTCCAAGGCTTGAAAGGGAAAGATGACGCAGCAAGCAGCCTTTCAAAGGTGGGTTTTTAGCAGATTGTGCAACCGGGAGCCAGTCGCTCTCAGGCGGGGAATTAAAAACAAACAAACAAAAAACAGAAAAGCAGCAGAAGTCCCTCCCCCCCCCCGACACCCCCAGAGCAGCAAGGCGCTACTTAATGAAATGAATTGGCAATTACAAATGCATCCGATGAAGTGAGCTGCAGCTCGCCAAAGCTCATGCTCAAATAAATGGGTTAGTCTCTAAGGTGCCACAAGTCCTCCTGTTCTTTTTGCGAATACAGACTAACACGGCTGCTACTCTGAAAGAAGCCAATGTACGCTTGCTGGGGGCGGCCTGGGCAGCTGGCCCCCACCCCGCTCCGGCTTCCAGCCTCCCTAGGGGGCGGAGTCTGGGGGGAGGGAGAGGAGGGGAAGGGTCACAGAGAGGGGCAAGGCCTTGTGGTGAGAGGCGGGGAGCACCCCACAATTTTCTGTCTAACCCACCTTACCCACCCCCGCAGTGGGAAGAGGCGGGCGCCACCCCTGGTCTCCCCCCATCGCAGCCAATCACAGAACACAATCCCACTCATTCATGTGCCAGGCTCTAGTTTCCATCCTCCCGGCTCCTCCCGTCTTCACAATGAGCCGCGCCACGCACCCAGGGGTGCGGACCGGGGGGCCAGGATCCCACACTTTATACCTGCCATAAGGGGGGAGCGAGAGGGGAGGGGCGGAGAGGAGCAAGGGGGGGCGGGATCTTGGGCGAAAGAAATGGCATGAGGGCGGGGACTCAGGGTGAGGGGGCGGCACGAGGGCGGGGTCTGAGGGGAGGACGCAGGCCGGGGGCGGGGCCTGGGGAAGGGGTAGTGCAGGGGCAGAGTCTCTAGGAGAAGGTAAATGCAAGGGCAGGAACTCGGGGGAGGGGCTGAGGCAAGGGCGGAGCCTCAGGGAAAGGGACAGTGCAAGGGCGGAGCCTCAGGGAAAGGGACAGTGCAAGGGCGGAGCCTGAGGTGAAGGGGTGGGGCAGGGGACAGGGCCTCAGGTGAAGGGGCGGGGCGTCGGAGGAAGGGGCTGTGACTGGTTACCTCACATTCACACTTGTAAACATATTTTTATAAAGCATATGCAACGACACCGGGGCAGTGCGTGTGTGTGTGGCTGTGCAGGTGGGTGTGTTTGTGTAGCGTTTGTGTAGCTGGATTTGTGCCTGTGTTTGCATCTGTTAGCAGCTGTGGCGGCTGGATTTGTGCGGGTGTTTGTGTATGTTAGTAAGAATGTGTGTGTGTGGCTGGATTCATGCATGTGTTTGTGTACGTTTGCAGTTATGTTTGTGTGTGTGCATCTCTGCTGCCCTCTGCCGGCTACAGCGACAACTGCTTCTCCATGTGTCACAGCCCCCATACCGTCAACCTCGGTGGCGATTCCCCCATCTTACAAGGGCTGGCTGGCCTGACCCTTTGCCTGTCTGCGGAGTGTGGTGGAGGCTGCAGCTCGCCCCCCCGTGGCGCAGGAGGGCGCAGGTGCGGGGCGCTGGGCTCCGATGCACCTGCCCAGCTGCTTACAGTACATTCATTGATCTGCCCATCTTCATGCCAGAAGGGACCGTTGTGCCCATGCAGTCTGCCCAGCCTGGAGACCGCCACCCAGGGATCCCAGATTCCAGCCCAGATCTGACGGTCGAGCTAGAGCGGTGCTTTTAGGGACGTCTGATCTCCATAGAAAAACTCCAAGAGCTGGAGACTCTGCCCTATCCCTGGGGCAGTGATTCCCAGAGTCAATTCCCCTTCCTGGGGAAAATCTGCCCCTTATTCCCAGTCTTGATTTGTCTGGCTTCATCCACCAGCAATCAGCTCTTGCTCTGCCCTGTCT